ACCCAAGCCAATTTATTATTCTTTCCTTTTTGTCTTAGTGTTTAAAATATTTATTTTGAAACAAATTAATTAATTACTTAATTAAACAAACAGACTTACTGGGTGAGCAGGGTAGGCTATGACAGCCGTCATATCATACCCTGCCATGATGCCCAGCTGATGCAAAGAATAGAATTTATATCTACACAAAAGAAAGCCCTGTCTAGACTCTGCACCGGTATGAGTTGTGTCGAGCTATTCATTAGTCTGTTTGTTTGATGAAAAAAGATGAAATGTAGTTGCAATAAATGCGTTAAGAATCCGTACTGCAGCAGTGGAGGACTATTATTCTGCTGCGTAATACTGCGGAAGAACTGATGACGGCACGGTTTGATCTTCGGCTGACCAATCAGCAGAAAGGGGCGTTTAATTCCCGCCCACGTATAGAAATTAAATATTCAAGCTGTTTATTCATTATTGTACCCCTGAACGAAAAAATAAAAATTTAAAGGGGTCATCGGATGCCCATTTTCCACAAGTTGATATGATTCTTTTGGGTCTTAATGAAAAGTCTATAACATACTTTGGTTAAAATTTCTCAATGGTAGTGTAAAAAAACACCTTTTTTACCCTGTCAAAATCAGCTCTGTTTTCAGCGAGCCATTCTAGTCCATGTTGCTTTAAATGCTAAAGAGCTCTGCTGACCCTGCCCCTCTCCTCTGTGGAGTGACGAGCAGACTGTGAACTTCAGCCACGAAACTGGCTAACTAGCACATTATTAGAAAAGGCGATTTGCAAAGATTCATAAAAAACCCTTATACTCACTTCTTCTGTAGATGAAGCTGGATCACGAATGATTCGCACGAACATAGACGCATTTAGGCAGATTGGGGATCGGCGCATTCCCTTAAAAACGAAAGTAACATTAATCCTCTGCATCTTCAGCGGCTCAGATGTCTTCAGTTTAATCAGGTTTATAAAAGAAAGATACAGCTTTACGATTCTCTCTGAAAATAGCCAAGCTCCTGGAGGCGAGCCGTGGGTGGAGCTGAAGAGTCACGAGCACTTTCGGGCCGATTGGCAACAAACACCGATACTTGATGCAGTTTAAAGCTCCTAGTCATGACGGGGATCTTTTATCGCTGGGACTGCTCCGTCTTTCAGTATCAAACGATGTGCAAATCCAGTGTCAGAATGTACCTTGTTATAAAATATTCGTCACCGAAATGATGGGAACAAACAAACACAAAAAGCTTGTGAAACTCCGTTGCTGCCCCAGAAAAACAAATTGCATCCACTGTTCACATAACACTGAATAAGGTTATCTCTTCCGAACCATGAACGAAACGTGTTGAGCAACACACTCTGCTCTCAGCGCACGCATAACAATCCAACTCTTAACAGTATAAACAACTCAGAATGCATGAAATGGCATTATATCCCCCTTTAAGCACAGCATATTGCAACGACAAGCGTGTTGCCGGCAACACGGATAGTACCACACATTGCCAACTAAACAACTAAGGCCGGATCCCAATTCTATTTTATACCCCTTCCCCTACCCCTTCCCCATGTCCCTTGAAACAAAGTGTCAAGGGGTAGGGGTGAAAATATTCCCCTAAGAATTGGGACACCACTACTACACATCATCATACGTCGTCTAGCTCCTACAGTACACACACCTAAACTGGTGTGCATTAGACCCTTACCGTTCTATATTAATGCGCTGCTTACAGACACACTGACACATACACACACACACATACATATCGGAGATCGCGCAGCTCACACATCCAGGAGCAAAGAAACTTGTCAATGCTGCCCCACGACTTTTATTAATAACAGTTTAAATACTGAATCGCTGCTTTATATTTTCCAGCAACAAGAGGATAAAATTGCTGTTTTTTAAGTAAACTCACTGATTGTAGAGAGACGCACATACACGCAACTTTCATCTCTCTCTCTCTCTCTCTCTCTCTCTCAAATTGGCAATATTTGAGAAAAGGGTTTAGCGATTTCTAATTATTGGGGGGACTAGAACCCCTCAATGTCTATGGTGGTTATCGCCCTGATCAGACATGAACATATGTTGTGGCACTGTCGTGCAGTCAGTAACGTTAATGGTTTAACATTAGCAAACCTTAGCGATTTTTTTGCAAACATTTCTTTGAATAACATGACCGTAATTTGAACACATGATTGAATATAACCTAAAACAAATGATTACTTTTCATTAAAATCTTTATTAATGTCAATAATGCTTACATTTATGTGTCTTTTTGTTCGCTCGGGCAGCCATGTTGCCACTGTAGCCGGTTTACGCTGAGATAATTCATACCCCTTCGTTTGAAGTGTGGTCCCGAAAAATCTTTGTTTGGAGGGCTATCTGGCCCTTCCCCTTACCCCTACCCCTCCAACCAAAAGAGAACCGAGACACCCCTACCCCTTCATGTGAACGCACAAAACGGAGGGAAAGGGGAAGGGCTAAGGGGTAGAAATGGGATTGGGCCTAAATGAGCCTAAGCAACGCGGATAACCATAGCAACATGCATGTTGCCAATAACCTGAGAGCATTAAAAGGAACTTAGCTTGTTCGAGAGAGTGAAACATAGCAGCTGTGACGTGGATGCTTAATCTCTTGATATCAACTGGGGATGAAGTTCCCATCTGAACTTGTTCTTGAGTCGGTCACATAACTTGTGGAGTCCATTTCAATAATGTAGCAATGCATGAAGTAATGCTAACTCTGTCACTTCCGAATCAGGCAGCTTATGATAAATGCGGTGAATTCACATGTTCAAGTTAACGAACTTGAATGAATCGGAGGGGAGTCCATTGGGGAAACGAATTCCACTCGCTAAATTCCCGATTCCAAGTGATGATGGTGTTTTGCCTGCCGAATTCGCCATTGAGCAATGCGAAAACTGCTGATAATACTGAAGGACCTTATATATGGATGCTTAGGTAGGTGTCGTATCCTATAGGTAGATGGGGATCAGCTGAGAGTCAGCTGATGTGAGCTTGACTAACGTGACCTGCCTGAACTAACGCTACGCTTGATTTTTGCTTTCCCCAAAGCACAACATCTAATTTAAATGTCTTGCTCGGGCCTATCATTAACTTTTTTTGACCATTTCCACAGTTTCAGTTTCCTTGGATTATTATTATTTTTTGTCCATTAATGGATCAGTGATTAATTATTAGCATTCCTAATTGAGAAGTCTATAATTAACTATATCTCCTGGGTGTTCTTTTTTTAATAAAGGGTTTAACTGCCAGCTTAAAGGTTCTTGGGACATGACCTAAAGAAAGTTAGCAATATTGTGAAGAGCAGCGTGTTTCAACTCTAGCCCTCAAGGTCCCCTTTTCTGCAAACTTGAGCTTTCAAATAGAGCTTTCTGCCTTCAGCTTTCAAATAATACAGAAGACCTTGATTCGCATGTTCAGGTGTGTTTGATTAGGGTTGGAGCTAAACTCTGAAGGAAAGGGGGTTTCAAGGGCCTGAGTTGAGGATTTCCAGCAGGTGTATTGGGACAAGTAGGACAGTGGCCCTTCAGAGCAGGTTTGGACACCTCTGGTACAGGATCAAGCATACTGTACATGTTGTTGATTTTGATGCATTACCTAAATGTTTTGATGTTTGTTGTATTGTGCCATTAAACTGGGGATAACTTTTGTTTGTTTTTTCACCTTAGACGTAGCGTTGAAAAAAGAGAAAGAAGTACTCAATGACATTGAAGAGAAAGATCAATACGAGAATCTGCATGATTTCACAGCTGGAAAAAAATATTTTAGGTGTTCACAGACTGAAAAGATTTCCACACGAAAAAAAGCTCAAAAGACTAAACAAACTAGAAGTGATTTCACTTGCCTTCGGTCTGGAAAGAGTTATAATCAACAAGGAAGCCTTAAAGTCCACATTGGGGAGACCCCTTTCAGTTGCCAACACTGTGGAAAAAGTTTCCCTTATAAAGTAAGTCTTGACAGGCATATAAAAATTCACACTGGAGAAAAGCCATACACCTGCCAACAATGTGGAAAAAGTTTCCGTCATCAAGGAAACCTTAGCCACCACATGAGAATTCACACTGGAGAAAAGCCTTACACCTGCAAACAGTGTGGAAAAAGTTTCAGTCAACAAGGAAGCCTTAGCCACCACATGAGAATTCACACTGGAGAGAAGCCTTACACCTGCCAACAGTGTGGAAAAAGTTTTGCTCAACATTGGAACCTTGAAGATCACATGAGAATACACACTGGAGAGAGTCCCTTCACTTGCCAACATTGTGGAAAAAGTTTCTGTCATCAAGGAAGCCTTAGCCACCACATGATAATTCACACTGGAGAGAAGCCTTACACCTGCCAACACTGTGGAAAAAGTTTTGCTCAACATGGAAACCTTAAAATCCACATGAGAATTCACACTGGAGAGAGTCCCTACACTTGCCAACTGTGTGGAAAAAGTTTCAGTCATCAAGGAAGCCTTAGCCACCACATGAGAAATCACACTGGAGAGAAGCCTTACACCTGCAAACAGTGTGGAAAGAGTTTCACTCATAAAGGAAGCTTTGACAGGCACATACGAATTCACACTGGAGAGAAGCCTTTCACCTGCCAACAGTGTGGAAAAAGTTTTGCTCAACATTGGAACCTTAAAGTCCACATGAGAATACACAATGGAGAGAGTGCCTTCACTTGCCAACACTGTGGAAAAAGTTTCAGTCATCAAGGAAGCCTTAGCCACCATATGAGAATTCACACTGGAGAGAAGCCTTACACCTGCCAACAGTGTGGACAAAGTTTCACTCATAAAGGAAGCCTTAACTGTCACATGACTGTTCACACTGGAGAGAAGCTTTACACATGCCCTCGGTGTGGAAAGAGTTTCCATCAGCATGGAAACCTTAACACCCACATCAGAATTCACACTGGAGAGAAGCCTTACACCTGCCAACAGTGTGGAAAAAGTTTCACTCATAAAGGAAGCCTTAACTGGCACATGAGAATTCACACTGAAGAAAAGCCTTGCAACTGCCAACACTGTGGAAAAAGTTTCACTTTTAAAGTAAGTCTTGACAGGCATATAAAAATTCACACTGGAGAAAAGCCTTAGACCTGCCAGCAGTGTGGTGAGTTTTGCTCAATGTGTAAACCTTGATGTCCACATGAGAATACACAATGGAGAGAGTCCCTTCACCTGCCAACACTGTGTAAAAAGTTTCAGTCATAAAGGAAGCTTTAACGTCCACATGAGAATACACAATGGAGAGAGTCCCTTCACCTGCCAACACTGTGGAAAAAGTTTCAGTCATAAAGGAAGCTTTAACGTCCACATGAGAATTCACACTGGAGAAAAGCCTTACACCTGCCAACGCTGTGGAAAAAGTTTTACTTGACGTGGAAACCTTAAAGTCCACATGAGAATGCACAACTGGAGAGAGTCCCTTAACTTGCCAACAGTGTGGAAAAAGTTTCAGTCATAAAGGAAGCCTTAACTTGCACATGAATGTTCACACCAGAGAAAAGTCTTACTCATGCCAACAAAGTGTAGATCTAGTTTCACTCAAAAAAGAAACTTAAACAGGCACACATGAATTCACACAGAATAGAAGCCTTACACTTGCCAACAGCATTTAGAGAGTTTTACTCAACATGGAAACCTTAGAGTCCACATGAGAATTCACACCGCAATAAAACTCTTACACCTGCCCCCTGCAAAGCGAGTAGAATTGTCAAAGATGGATCAATACCAACTGTTTGTCCAACTTCGTATTCAGAACATGTAAGTACAGCACGTTATATTTTGTGAATGTGCTTGTTAGCACGCTGTATGGTTAATGTGGCTTAAGTTACCACTGTCTCTGACTGTATTCATGAAGATCAGAGCTATGTCGTTAGTTTTAGTTTTAAGAAGTAATACAATTGTGCTTCTGAATTTTACAGGCAGTGAGCATTTTGGGGTTAAAAATCACAAGCTCCGTCTCTTGTGAATACAGTAAGAGACAATGGCAACTTTAGATGTCATTGCGATGAGAGGTATGTTTTTATCAGCTTCTCGAAAAAGTGTTCAAATATGGTTAATTGCTTACTGTTTATGGATTTTCTGCACAAAATGTGTTTTGTTTGTTAACTTTTCTTTATTAAGAGATTAGTACTCCAAGTATAAACATTGTAAGAGTATGTTTAATCGAAACATGAATTCGTGTAATGGCCGCTACTACACGTGCTGGATGCTGATGAGTTTCGTTATATGACGATGCATACTTAGATAAAACTTTTACCTCTGTTTTACCGGTGTTATGAGTTACACGTTTATGATTGTGTGAAGTTGTATATTTTTACCTTTAATGATCCATGAGAGGTTTGAATGTATTTCCTGTTATATGAATGTACATTGTAACAGTATGCAATGATTGACAGGCACGGATGGTGTCTGTTATACTTTGATACAGGTATGTAAATGGATCATTATAGTATTTGTTTTCTTTTCCTGTATTTTCTTTTCTCATTATTATTGTATTTGTTTCTATAATCGTTATTGTATGCTATAACGCTCTCTTGCGCGGGATGTCATTGCGATGAGAGGCACGGCTAAACCAGATATTCTCCTGTTACTATCTGATGGTGTCTGTTATACTTTAATACAGAAACTGAGAAGCCGAAATAAACCACATGACAACCACATCATGGTGTAAGGTCTCTTTTATCGACACACAACGCAGAAGATAACCCACTACAATTGCAAAGCAGTCCAGTGTGCAATGGTTCACACAAACATACAAATTTAGCTAATTTCTTGGCACACAATTGAAAAGAATCCACTGCATCCTTAGTGGCTCAGATTCTGGGAGTTTTTGCAATTATTGCAGCCAAAAACAAGAGTTACAATGTTTAAATAGCTGAGACATTTTATGACTAGCTGCTCTAGCGAGGGTATAAAGATGGTGGACTGTGTGCGGCTCACTCAGGGTGGGATCTGTGCTAATAGGGCAGAGATTGTCACCAGTGGGCGGGGATTTTCCATACTATGGCGTCATCGTAGGGAGAAAACTGGAACAGCCTGTTCTCAGACAATGCTTCTGATTTATGGGGATTATAAAAAAGGAGTAGGTGGATTTTTACGATTATAGGGTGGTTCTTTACACACACTGTGGACACATTAATGTTTAAACACCACGTAAAAGAATAATAGGTCCTCTTTAATTAATTTGTGTATTTCGGTTAATAACGGTTCTGGTTCTCACCTTATTGATGAGCAGGAATTGTATTTTGTGAGTAAAGCTGCAAATAACGTCAGCTGCCTTCATAATAATCCTCTGACACGTGCAAGTGAAAATCACGGTGCAGCATAAATGATAAATCTGTTAGGCAGTAACCAATGAAAAAATTTTATACTTGAGCACAATTTATTAGTATGTACTTTGGTATAACTAAATGTATTTGTGGCACGCTATAAATTGGTATACCTAAAGTCTGTTAAATTGGAACAACTAATGTCCTAAATGCATTTTAGTTGTCTAAAAGCAGTGCTGAAGTTCAACTAAATTTGTATTAAATATACTTGTTTGTGCTAAAGTGGAAATATTCCAAGTAAACTTAAATACACTTTAACTATCAATTCTTGTATTTAAGTTTTGAAATGTAGAATTCACTCAGCATGAACTTCAAATGTATTATGGTGACATTACAATTGCAATTCAGTTACACTGTAAGAGTGTTCAACATACATTAATATTATACTGATAACAAACTGAGGTCATACTATACCTTTACTTTCAGTGACTTTAAAACATTGCAATGGCATTCCAAGTACACTTAGTGTGCTTCTAGAAAATAATACAAAGTAATCATTATAAATACTGGCACAGCTGAAGAATTTGCCTTTTACAGACACCTCCAAGTATACCAGTAACTTACCCTGTGAACATCGAGACATTGGGAACGTCCATAACATTTATCTGCCCATTGTCTCTGTGCGCTTCAACTCCCAATGTAGGCCTACTGCACAACTGCTCCTGATGTAAAACGCAATGAAATGGTTTGGCGATCTGACAGTCTTGCATTACACTGTGGATTTAAATGTGATGCATAAATTGAAATAATTGTAATATGTTTTTTGTTGTTACTTTCATGCAGTTAATGTTTCTGGGTTTATTTTGAATTGTAACTTTTTTGTGCAATTTTTGAGTACTGGTCAGGATAATTTTAATAATTTGTTTAAAGCAGCCGTCTGTAAGTTTTGCATCATTGTCACCATCTCTGTTGGAAACCTGCAGTTGCAGTTATCAGCTGAATTTTCATGTGTATGTGGTTTGTGCTTTGGCACGGCTCCTCAGCACGGATGAATCTAATGTTTTGAGCAGTATGTGTAGCCGTTAGTCACCGCACCTGTGTGGATATTCACTTAAAATAAAATTAATTCACTATATCTATTAGAGCAACACTGTAGTTTCACAGGGTTTTTAATACAAAACCTAAACATATAAATTAAAAAAATAAGTCATTTTGAACATAATCAGGCCAGCTCATGAGGATTATCTCATCATATATAAGCAACTAATATCTCCTCACTGTACAACACCACATGCATTTCTACAGAGAGAAATCTAACACAACAAGTCAAGGATCAAGAGCCCAACTAAAGCAAACACTGATCTCCATGATGGTG